ATGAGGCGCTGCCGCTGCGCGCAGCAGCAGCCCCGATCGCCCCGCCCAGAGCCGGCGGACGAAGAGACCTGTTCAGCTGTCGGTCGGTTGTTAACAATACGAATACATACATCTGTTCTCTGCTCAGATCGGATAGTCGACTGGTCGACAGCAGTGGTGGCTGCGCTGTTCGGGCGAACAGAAGCCAAGACAACGGCATTGAACAGCTTAGCGATAATACTTGACGACGCAGGCAAAAGCAGCAGCAGCAGCAGCAGCAGCACCAATAACAAATTCGATTCGGCCAGTAACCAGCACGACACTGGCTAGTTCGCTGAGCGACGATCAGCTACGTTCACGACGGAAGCGCCACAAGTATCGTCACGGCGGCGACAACGATAGCGGACTAGTTGACGGAAAGAAGAGTAGCAAACAACCAAATAACTAATTAAGTACGACGAAATCAGACTTAGTCGTATGGCGGACGGGCGGACGGACGGACGATAGCAAATCAGCGCGCCAGCGATCCATGGCATGATTCTGCCTACCTAGCCTATTCGAGCTATACGACGAGTTGCCGTACGCCAATTGTTTGAACCGTGAACGTAACGCAAAGCTGTTGTTTCAGTAACTAAAAGGCAAGACCATACATCATTAAGATACTCGCGCGGTCTGTGAGCGTCTTCTTGTCGACCGTACAGCGCCGCATATCAAGTAGGAGTAGCGAAAAAAAAACAGAAAGTACCCAAGTAACCCTTTCGAGATGTTCGTGCCTGTGGCTTCGTGAGGATCACGAAATTAAAGAAGGTGTTCTAATAGTGCCTGTTCAATAGCCATGTTCGATTGTCAAATATGTTCTTGTCCAGAAGATGTACAGAGAGTGATCGTTCGAAGGCGAAATCAGATTACCTCATAGGGATGAGATATCGGCGCTGCGCACCGCAGTACACAAAAAGTCTGTAAAATAAGAATACGGTTTTTGATTTTTTTTTTGATGTAGAAAAACCTGTGTGTGCCTAACAAAAGGAAAAAAGATTTTGCAACAAAACATTTGCCGGCACAAAGTGAGCGATCGAGTAGCTCTAGTGCTATTGCGGGAAAATAGCTAGACAAACGCCGTAGTATTACCCGATGTTAAGAGAAGCCAGAAAATTTCTGCTCAAGTGTTAATACATCGGTGAAAAATCGTGTATTTTATACTAGCCGGTGCAGGTCAAAGCGCTAGAAGATGGCCGTAAGTGTGTGCGTGTGTGTGTGTTAACCAAAAATAAATCGGGCTTTTAATAATGAGATTGCCTCAACAAAAAAACCAGCATCAGCACCAGCAGAAACGTGAGTGATCATGAAACAAGATTTCTAGCCACTGTGGAGTGTTTTAGTGTGACATCGTGCTACTTCGCCCCCATCTGTCCGTGTGAGATATGAGGAACATCGTCATGGTGATGACAATGATGCCATCACTGATCCTCTATCCTGTATTGTTGTTGTTGTTGTCGTTGTTATCGTCGTTGTGAACTGTCCTGATGCCCGACCAAGAACAAGTTAAATAAAGATAAACAACAGCGACAGTCATCTTTGGACTTATATTGCCAACAGCGTCGCAGCACTGCGACGCGCGTGCCTTGCGAAATCTACTTCCATCATCGAGTGAGTAACATTTATGGTTCCAAACTGATTGACTGGCAGAAGAACACCTCATCCAGATAGTGCAAGAGGTTTGGGGGTCCGTCTATTTTAGTTAGGCCAGTGTTACCCAGCCGACGAATCGTTTTAGTAAGTTAAAGTGGTCTACCTGGTTCTCTATTACTCATCCACCGATCGGTCAATTGGTTAATTGATCGAACAATGGCCACAGACGACTGCTCGAGTACGGGTAGTCGGTCGGAAGCGGATAGCGCTCCAGTGGCAGCAATGTCACCAGTTGCCCCGGCAATGCCCCAAGACGACGAAGAACTTCTTGACGTCGAGGACTGTTCGTCTGACGCCGAGGACTACTTCCAGCCGAAGCGCGCACGTACCGACCGGGATCACCACAGTCACCATCATAACCACCACCATCACCAGGTTCGGTCTACATCGGCGGAGCCGGTCCCGCCACCCGCGCATCAGCAACCAAAGCCGTTAACATCATTCTTTATTAAGGACATACTCAGTGGCAACAAGGCTGCGGCGCAGGCCGCTGCTCAAAGAGCGGCTCAGCAGGCGGTGGCAATGAGCTCGCTGGCGGCGATCGTGCGCCCGTGGGACTCACCAAACGGGACGCCACCGCCCCGAAGGCCGCGATCCACGGACGAGGACTCGATCTCAGAAAGCGATTCCCCGGAGAGTCCCGCGTCAACCGCCGCAGCGGCTTTGCTCCACCGGCGGCACCAGGCAGCCCTGGCGGCCGCAGCGGCCGCGGCAAGACGTCAAGCGAGCGGAGGCGACCCCCAAAATGCCGATAGCTCACCTCTGGACGCACTTTTCGAAATGACAAGCAAAACGTTCGAGACACTCGAACACGCCGACCGAGCAGCTCTAGGTGAGTGATGATAGCGCCCTTTATTCCTCGTAGTAACTCTGTCCTATTTACTTCAAGCTAGTTAATTATAAGTCCTCTTAGCCTTATTGTAGTGATCCTATTGCTTCTTATTGTTCCATTCGTGCCACCGTACTTGCTGGTATCTGTAACATCACGATACACCTAGGTTGCTCGTATTGTTACTGTTACACAAAGAAGTAATACTATTTGTATTGCCTGTACATAAGCAATGATCATTCATGCCTTGTCCTGGCAAAGTAGCAGCTTTGCCCTTCGGTACTCGTTGGCAAATAGCTTTTCAGCCAATTTGAAACTACCCCTCTTATAGTCGTTTATCATTATGGTCAACTAGTAGTGTTCTATGGTAAACTGGAGACACAGATAATGGTGCATCTGCAGTCATGTATAATAATAATAATAATAATAATCATATATATGGCAGTCCCAGTGTTCCTTCACTATTAAGTAGACTGAAGTGAGCAGAGTGTTGCGTACGCAGTGACATCTCGAATATTATGATCGTTCAATGGAGCTCTTTGTGGCAAGTCATTAGAATATGGTGTATCCGTAACATTAACGAAATTATACCGACCGATGTTATTGCTAATTAGCTGATGACGTGGAGGAACTATGCACGGAACGCTTGGTCGAGATGTGCCACTTCCTAAAAATATGTTTTCTCGCCCACGCGTGCCTTAGGCGCGAGTAGAACCTCAAGAGTGTGCGTCCTGACCCAATGTTGTAGCAGCTTTTGAGGAGCACGATCATTGCATTTACTGCTGTTCCATTCCGTATATGGTTAGAGGGTTGTGTAGGTTCGCGTGCACTGTGCCCCGGCAAACGAGCCAACAAACGGCACTTTACGATGGTGTAATAGACAGTCTTCGGTAGTGTGAAGTTGATTGAAACATTCGCCAGGAGATCTGAAGCAGGACCCGACACGGGTGCCCCGCTGTGAGCAGCTCATGATGGAGTCGGCAGGATTTCTATCAGTTCGGCCACTTCGCTTCACTCGGAGGTCCGCGAAGATCGAGAAGGCCACCCCTTGAGCAGCAATCGTGGTTGTAGTGGTAGTAGTATTAGTAGAAGTCAAAGGCAACGGCCGTAGCGCGTAGACGGAGCCTGATGATGCTTAACGCCGGGCGCCAGGCGGGGAAGACCCTTCCGAAGGAGCATGACACCCGGTATTGATAATTACTATGGACCGGACGAATTTCATGCTGCTTTTGTCATTAGAACGTGCGGACCCTACAAACAGGACTCTTGACCAATTATTTTAAACTTATAATAATATTCTAGGCAACTGCTTGGTGCTACATTGACCAACCTTCCAGTTACTCACCTCCACAAAACTAATTGTTCCCGACGTCTCGATTAAGACAACTGCTTCCAATAGACCTCGTACATATGCCAAAGTCTGTCTCGTTGTCCGCTGACACTTAAAAAATACCCTCTTAAACAGCCACATTTTTGACAAGCCACATCATATATAAATGTATGTTGCCACCTATATTCTCTGTGATCCATATGACACTGCTGAACGTCATCATGGACATCGACTTCGCTTATACTGTGGTACCACTAGATGAATAGATACACAATTGAGTACATTATATATACAATACATTGATGATCTTCCCTTGCTAGGGTCAACAGCAGAAGCAGTTGAAAACTAAGACAACACCGTAGCAGCTGTTCGAGCGACCTGAGATGTTGTTTCACAAGCCAGCAGCGGAGGCTGCTATGTTGTCCTGTGTGTGTCTTCGCACCTTCTTTTGGATAGTGGAGCTCGTGAAGCACGACCACCATCGGTGGCATTAAGAGCATCTCACTTCATCTCAGATCCCTGATCCAACTAACTGGCCAATTTGCGGGACGAACATGAAGCAAATCTACATAGACGATAGTGATGATCGCAATAGTTGCTATGATCATATGAGTTGGACTACCGCAGTTTTCTTTTTCTGTGATGGTCGTTGCTCAGTAGCCAGTTTTTGAATAGTGCAGTTTTGTTACAGACCGTTCAATGTGTTGCTAGCTAGCTAGCTAGCTAGCTAGCTAGTAGACGGTCGATATGCGTTGTGGATTGGCTGTTTGTAGTTGATCTCCTTCAATTGGTACCGCCAGTACTTCATAGTCGGCGAAATGATGGCCACAATGATCACACCAAATCATCCCAGAAGCGTTTGTTATTGAACCACTGCTAATGCTTTGGCAGCTCTATTAGACAGCCACTAACACCCAGTTCGAAACAGAGTTTAAGTGTTTCACTTGAATCGCGTGTATCGCTCGATTTCAAGAGATTCAGAGTTCGATGGGATATCATCGTCGAGATTACGATGATATTTTTGTTAGTAGAAAAGACGAAGCGAGAAAACATTCTATTTCTATTAAGCAATCCCAGGCGAGCACCGGGATCTACGAGCAGGGTTAGAGCGCTGTCGTGAATTGTCCCGTCTTCCTTTCATATTGTCTTCGGTATTTGTTAAGCGTCATACAAAAACGATAATGCAGGAACGTGTGGCAATGCGCTAAGATCAGGCTTCTGAGCCTGCAGGAATTAGTCTAGTGGCTGGCTCCTAGGAACAGTCGTATGCTAATGATAACAATTGCGCTAGACTCAGTTCGACAGGAGCGAATGTGAGAGATACGGGTCGCGTCATAATAGTTGTGGTTGATCGGCCACAAAAATAGGCGGAAGCGTCGCGTACCTAATAGACGCTTTTCGTCGTCTCCAACGGCTAGTGAATAGGTTTATAAATGCTATTATGATACTTTCTTTTCCTACTCAAGTTCCATTGAAATTATTCTGACTAATGCGTCAAACCACTTGGCTCGTAAGCCGGTTGAGATAGTTTGCCAGCTCTAAACGAGATTTCGGCATAATTACCCGAGCCGCCATTTCCTATTTTTTTCGTGATCCACAAAAAATTGGGATATGGTTGAGATCGTGCACGACCCAGAGCCACCTTGAAGCCTACGGATACAACCACAAGCAGAAACTGCGTGTTCAGTCTGCCGACCCAACTTATTATACACTTGAAGGGATTTGCTGCAAAAGCTGCATGTGGTCCATTTGTAACGTGCCAATTAAAATGTGTGTTACTCATCAGACAATCGATAACAAAGGTTAGCACAGGTATGTTTGTTTTGAAAGGCTACCTTTGCATCTGAAAAAAGTCAGAAATAAACTTAAACTGATCTGTTATCAATGTAATGTTGTTATCTTTGACCAGTTTGAATCGGCATGGTTGAATGCAGAGTGACCTTCGGCGTTATATAAATGAGATATATTGTAACTTTCTTGTCGATTAGTAAGTTTAACAACTGTCATTGTTTCCATTGCCGGGTAGGAGCTACACAATCTGTTGGGCTGTTAGGGCTCAGTAGTTCAATAATAATATGGAGCACAAACCGTTTATAGGGGCAGCTTATTTCGTCTAATCGTAGGCGAAACAGCGTATCTCCACGTGACGAATGAGCAATGAGCTAGATTTCTTGGTATCGTCTACCGACCGACCTCGTGCCACGTCAACCTAAAAATCATCTACAAAACTCGATAGCTTAGACGACAGTCGTGGGACATCCAATTTCAGCCAACAAAGGTACACATAATGACTGAGAAATAGTTACAGAATCGCTTCATCGTCATGGCCATAATCGTCGTCATCATCGTCGTCGTCGCAGTCATTATCAGCCAGGACAGGTCCATGACGCATCTATTAGGAAAAAATCATTGAATAAAGCAATTCACTAATCGATCGGGTAACTTCCTCTTCGTTTGTTCCCGTACCGATTCGAACGAACGCCGCAACACTATGTCTGCCCTCTATCGGCGCTGCAAAAAATATTCATCGTGACATTCTCATTCAGCTAAGGGAGAGAGCGAGCAAGAGACGTAAACAATGATTCTTACTGCCATTTTGGCGTTTGCAGCCGGACCGGCTTACACTGGCTGACTGCTTTCGGTCGAGTTCCTTCTCACCGCCAAAATCCAGAGCAGCAGCAGCAGCAGCAGCAGCAGCAACAACAACACAAACAAATAAACCTTGATCGCTTAATGCCGGCTCGGCCATTTGTTCGGATTCTGAGTTTCCACCGGTGCCGCCGTCGTCGCGGCACCGCAACCCTACGCGATAGACTGGTGAAGGGAATCTGCAGCGTTTTGTCGATCCTGGATGCCTGTACAGTGTACAAACAAGTCGACAGGCGTAAGACTCTAGGACGAACAAAACGTCAACGGGGCTAGTTGAAGAGTCTGGAGTGAGGGCGGGTCGCTGTTGGCGAAAAAATTCGCAAAAAAACGGGCGCAAATATATTGCCGCCAATTGTCACTTTTTGCGAAGCCCTTTTTTCCCTTGTGCCATTATTGCGCCGGCTGAAATAGGATCAAAGCCGTAAATGAACAATGTTGCCGCTAAAGATACGTAGCCAAAGTGGCTGTCGCGGGAGCGTCAAGCAGGTTCCGTCCGCCGATAGATAGTTGTGCAAAGATTATGATACGACTATGATAATCAAATGTCGGGTCGCCGATTGCCGACATTCCAGTGAAAGCACAAATTAAAAGCCGACATGTGTATGAAGTACTGCTCTTAAATGGCCATGGCACCTTAAACAGAATAAGCAGACAGTGTCGTGAGCCTGTGTTTGTGTTCGAGCAAATGCTTCTACGGCTGAAGTGATTGTTGTCCTGGACAGCGTTTATTTTCTGCTGCACTGGCTCTTACTACTGCCGCTGCAACTGCTACTACCGGTAGTACTAAGACCCCGACTTTCTTCAGAAAGGACCGCCGCGTATTTAGAAAGCAGCAACGCCGCCAGTGGCTTCTGTCGGGAGCGAATTGAAGGTCGCGCGCGTGCCAATACACGTAATAGCTTGATAAGTACTGCGTCGCTTGAAATCAAATTTACTCTAAGCGGTCTCTTCGTATATTGAAACTTTATCTACAAGCAAACGGTTCCGCGGTAAAGGCTAATTTACAGCGTAAGCCGATTTGTGA